CTAGACATTGGTTTTTTAACAAAAAATTGATTTATTTTTCAACATAATCTCCTTTTAAGTCAATACATTTTTTCTAACATATTTATTCCTTCTCTAAGTATTTGTTGCAGCTATAACTTCACTATTTGACACAAATCTTTTTCCGCCGAGCCATTTTTTCATATTTGGAAAAAGGAAAAAGTCACTGGGAGCTAAATCTGGCGAATATGGCGGATGAGGGAGCAATTCATAGCCTAACTCATTTATTTTTTCCTGCGTTTTCCAAGATGAATGTGAAGGAGCGTTATCATGATGAAAGAGGATTTTCTTCTTTTTCAAATGTGGCCGTTTTTGCTTAATATTTTGGTCCAATGTATCCAACAAAGATGAATAATATTCAGCTGTGATGGTTTTACCCTTTTCAAGATAATCTATGAAAATTATACCTTGTGCATCCCAAAAAATAGATGCCATAACCTTACCAGCTGATGCAACGACCTTTGCCTTCTTTGGAGCACTTGAGCCACGTTCTACCCATTGTTTGGACTGTTCTTTAGACTCTGGTGTATAGTGGTGAATCCACGTTTCATCCTTCGTTATGAAACGACGCAAAAATTCCGATGGATTTCTGTTAAACATGTCTAAACCAACTTTTGAAGTCGACATTCGGTTCATTTTTTGCAGAGGAGTTAGCAAACGCGGCACCCATCTTGCTGAAAGCTTTTTCATACCCAATTCATCATGTATTATGTTATGCACACGTTCATAACTAATGTTCACAATGTCAGCAATCTCTCTCAATTTAATTCTTCGATCTTGTGTGACAATTTTGTACACTTTTTCCACCGTTTCTGGAGTCGTTACCTCTTTTGGCCTCCCAGAGCGTAGCTCATCTTTGGTGCTTATCCGACCACGTTTAAACTCGTTTACCCAATTGTAAACTGTTGCATTTGAGGGTGCATGTTCCCCTAATACTGTCTGCAACTCCTCAATAATTTGTTTCTGGTTTAAACCTTTCAAATGAAAGTACTTTATAACAGCACGAAGTTCACTTTTTTCCATTTTTTAATAAAAATACAATAGTGTTTTGCAAAAATAATTCTCAAAAAAGTACCGTTTGACCATATGTTATGAAATTTTGACAGCTCGCTTTTGACAGTTCACTTTTAACATTCACAATAATTAAGTAAATTAATGACCGATAGATGTCGCAATTCTAACGACTTTTCAATCCACCCTCGTATTTTTATTGATGAGACAAGTTAGAAAAACGAGAACAATGCTGCTGATTCCACAGGTCTGCGAAAAAAAATTTTTTGTCAGCTGCATGAGATATTTTTACTGAATTATATGTTTTAAAGTGCGCTGATTACACTGGTCTACAAGGGTTTTGCGAATAAGACGGGACCTGGTGTTTCCGAACGGATTTTTCGTGCTGAACACGAATCTGGGGTCCAAAACTTCCCATCACGTCACGTTTTCGAGAAAAAAGGGGTTGAAACCCCTAAAAACAGCGTTTTTGGACATTTTCGAAAAATTGTAGAGCTGAACCCTGACGTGCTACAAACTTTGTATATGTCAGAAATTAAAGGCTAAATCGTGCCCTTTCGAATGAGCCCTATGCCGAATTAATCGCATGCACCCTTAGATCAGGGGGTGTATTTGTGTCTAGGAGTCCAGGGAAAATTGATCGCAGAAAGAATTTCATCTTAAACGACCATATAAATTTCTTAAATTTTTAAAATCTAACTGCAGATTCGTAATCAGCGACTTTTAATATAGTTAAAACCTTGGCATTATTAATTTTCTATGATCGTTTAAGATTAAATTCTTTCTGTGATCAATTTTTCCTGCACCCCTAAACACAAATACACCCCCTGCTTTAAGGGTGCACGCGATCAATTCGGCATAGGGCTCATTCGAAAGGGCACGGTTTAGCCTTTAATTTCTGATATATGCAAAATTTGTACCACGTCAGGGTTCAGCTCTATAATTTTTCGAAAATGGCCAAAAACGCTGTTTTTAGGGGTTTCAACCCCTTTTTTCTCGAAAACGTGACGTGATGGGACATTTTTGACCCCGGATTCGTGTTCAGCACGAAAAATCCGTTCAGAAACACCAGGTCCCGTCTTATTCGCAGAAAAAAAGTTGAAATTTGTAGACCAGTGTTACAAAAGTGATGGCCATTTTTTTCTATCACATAAGTATTTTTTGCAAATTTAAACACAAAAAATTGGTTAAAGCACTCCTTTATTCAAAATTTTCAAACAATTAGTATTTTTTTTTTTAAGCAAACGAAACATTATTTTGATACATATACTTATTCATGTTCTTTATGAAACCTCTTCTTCTTTTCCTTGATACTTTGACGAGTCCTTTTCCGATTTCCATCTTCAGTTTCTCGCTTAACCCTTATGGGTATGGATGTTTCATATACCTTATTCCGTACACATTAGGTCTGGCCAGACCTATGGGCAGTTTACAAGGATTCTAATATAAATTTTATAAACACATAAGTGAAAACACATAATTTAGTGAGTTTATCAACATTTTATTGCTATTTATTAATTTTATTTTGGAATATAATTATATAAGCTTTACATTTTATACATTTTCTGCATTAATACATTTGTGGCACCTATTGAGCTGCTCCGAATGTTGCAAACAAACTGGCTCTGAACAGCTCATACAAACGAATCTGGTTTTTCTTTGCAACTTATCGTTGCTATAACATATTTTGCACGACCTCTTTAAATTTGATACGCTACTAGTACTTGGAGCACATACATGAGGAGCAATAGGAGCACCGAAATAAGCTTCTATGGCTGACCGTGATGAAAAAACCTTCATAACATGGGGATTATTCATGCGAGCTTCGACTTGGCGATTGACTAGCGATTTCGCCAAATCATTAAGAAAAATACGTCTTGCATCAGTTGCTTTGCTTTTCTGTATTTGATTTTTTATAACATAAGCAGCCAGTGCAGCCACATCCAACATGTTGTAGAAAAAAGACAGTGGCCACCGCTGAGTTTTACGTTTGCACGTATATTTTCCTAACATCTGATCCATAACATCGACACCGCATTTCATTTTATTATAAAAAAGAATTGCATCAGGTTTTTGCAGTTGACCACTAGTGGTGTTATCTTGATGCAGTGAAGATAATAAGCAAACACTTTTATTTTTTTTTTGGGACATATGATACGATACTAACATTGTCGTGAAATCCGAACTCTGTTGATAACACCGGACGGGATTTACTAGCCAACATTTCCCTAGGTATATATCTTTTGTTACGACGTAATGTTCCAACATAAGCCAGTCCGGAATCTCTCAATTTATGGACACCATTCAGTGTGGTAAAAAAGTTATCAGCAATGACAGTTCTTCCAGAAAAGCGATATTTACTGGTGAGAGTTAACAAAATACGCTCACCTTGATTCACATCTCTTGGCTGATTGCGCTCCTTCCCAGTGTATAAAATACCCTTCAATGGATATGAATTAGAGGCATCACATGCCCAAAATATTTTTATGCCATATTTGGCGGGCTTAGAGGGTATATACTGTGTAAACTTCGTACGCCCTCTAAATGGGAATAACTGTTCATCAACAGTTACGTTTGCTGTTGGCTTATATAATGCCTCCAATTGTGTATTTAGCATCGTCCAAAGGTCAAGTATGGGCGCAGCCTTATCTTCCTCCTGTCGCGAAGCACGAGTTCTTTCATCGTCAAATCTTATAAAACTGGTTATAGATTTGAACCGTTGTATGGACATGGCAGCTCTATAGATTGGCAAGGAATCTGGTTTCCACAGTTCAGTGCAGTGCTGCATGTTAGAATGGTTTACTCCAGCAGCCAGCAAAATTCCAATATAAGCGTATAGTTCAGTCTGGTCAACCAATTTCCAATTCTTTGGCTTTTTCGGTTTTTTTTTTCGAGATTGAATTTTTCGACCGCTTTCAAAGCTTTCCGATTAGTTTCTCTCATAATTATAGTGATCATTTCTTCTGTTATTATGGATTTAAATATCTCTAATGAATTTGAAGATAAAGAACTTTTTACAGTTCCACCAGCTTCTCTCAAAATATTGTGGCTACGCGCACGACTAGATGGCGGAGGAGTCTTACTCCACTTAGTTCCATCAGGAGCTATGAAACAATCGGTTTCGTTGGAGACATCACTGGATCACTTTCTACTTCCAAAATATTTTCCGATTCCATATCTGAAGCATACTCACCATCAAAAAAATCTTCATCGTCATTGTGTATACCGTCTATGTCCTCGTTCCCATCCTCATCTGTGAAAGTCACATGTTCAACAAGACGCTCAAAATAGTTTGTTCGCTGCTCCTCCGACATACTAAATAAAAATGTTTAGTGCCCTATAGCAATTATAAGAAAGAAATAAAATGTTTATCTACTTACCGGCTCAACATCGCTGCAGAGTAATATTCAAAATTTTCCGACATTATAACGGGTGATTTTTTTGAGGTTAGGATTTTCATGCATTAGTATTTGACAGATCACGTGGGATTTCAGACATGGTGTCATAGAGAAAGATGCTCAGTATGCTTTGAAATTTCATCATGAATAGACTTACTAACGAGCAACGCTTGCAAATCATTGAATTTTATTACC